CAAAATTTGGACTGTTTGTCAGGTAATCTTTGATCCAGGTAACTGTTGATGCCTCCACCTGAATCTTCTGAAGTTTCACAGTAAATTCCAAAGTGTTAAATAAGCAGTGTCAATGTACATTGACTCTTTTAGAGTTATTACAACAACAACTGGAGTAAAATATACACTACATAGAGTTCCAATTTAACACTAATTCCGAGTGGGACCAAATGCACGCTTAAAGTGTTACTTTAACACACACAAGAAAATCATCCTCACAGTGCTGTCTAAATGACAGTGTTTTGTTTGTTTGTTGAAGCAGGTGAATGATGGCATCTTCAACCCCAAACCCTCGACAATATTCAAACTGCATGGGGTCGAAGCACTCCAAAGCTTTTTAAGCGGTCAGGTGCGGCTGTGGAGGGCTGCACCCATTAAGGTGCCACCATTTTCCTTGTTTTTTCCCTGACAAATCTATTAGCTCATCAGAAAATCTCTTTGCCCCATGCCTCTCCAGGTCAGCCCATATGTTCTGCAGAACATGAGTGCTCAACTCTGAGGCCATCTAACGCTTTAGTTCCTTTACTAAAGCCAGCCAGGCCTCCATGTCTCCTTTGGATTGAAATGTTTCTAACAGCTGTGCACCTTAGCTAAATCCTATGGGACTTACACAATATTGTAGTCATTTTAAGGAAAGTACTCATTATTTGCTAGAAGTTCCTGTATGGTTTTTAGTGCTGGTGTCAGGATTCAGACGTTCCCACAGAAAGATTCACATCTGTCTTTCTTATTAAGTTTAAAAAAAACAAACAGCGCTTATAATGTCACTTTGGGCTAATCTCTTTCCTGATTATTAGGGCACCAATGCATTTCTGTAAAAGAGAACCTGTGGAGGCTGCTGAAGAATGGGGTCATGGCACAGAGGCTCTTCAACTTTGAAGAGTTGAAGCTCTTTATTAAATATAAATTCAAAAAATACCAACAGGGACAAATAATAAGAAGGTCAGAAACTAAAAGAAGAGTTTACATTTTTTTAATAACAAGAAATACTTTAGTTACATTTTGGTTCACATGTAAATCATTTTAAATGTACATGAAAAAAATATATTTAGTTTTAACTTACTTTAATTTTATTCTGACCAGTAGGCCAACACTCTCTACTTGTAAATAAATAAATATGACTAAGTGATAATTGAATAAAATAAAATATTAATTTTGAAGTTTTAATTTTAAAATTATTCTAAAAAAAAAACAATTATGCCAGAACAAATAGACTACTTTGCTCATTAACAGTGAACCAACATACCTGTCAAAAGGTGCAGAAGTCTGACTGAACATTTCCTGAACATTACAGAAAACACCTGATTTCAGTGATTACTGCCTCAAAGAGTTGCTCAACAAAATTTTAGTTCATAAGCTCAAACAGGTTTGTATACTCCTTGCATGTTATATACATATGGATTTATATCTATTTATTCAAAATTAATGCCACAATTTCTGTTTTTTTAATCATTTTTATGCATTATGTCTTTGGTCATTTTCTATTTATTTTACTTGCAGGCTTTTTTTTTTCTTTCTTTAATGGAAGGGTATGTAAACATTGAAGCATAACTACACATATTTTAAAACCAATTAAAGGTTCTTAATGTCCAAAAATGAGAATTTCTAAAAAAATCAGATTTGCTTTATTGCATTATTTAAAAAAAAAAACAATCATATCTACAAAATGGGATGTTCAGTGCAGCAGTGGGTAACACTGCTTTCTTGCCACAAGAAGGTTCCGGGTTCAATTCTCAGCACGTGGACTTTCTGCATGGATTTTGCATGTTCTCCCTGTGGATGTGGGTTCTCTCTGGGTACTTCAGCTTCCTCCTATAATCCAAAAACATGACTGTTAGGTTATTTTGCTTCTTTAAATTCTCCTTAGGTGTGAGTGTAAGCCTGTTTGTTTGTACTTTTTGTCTCTGCGTTGCCCAGTGATAGACTGGCAACCTGCCCAGAGTGTACCCCGCCTCTCGCCCATAGACAGCTGGAGAAAGGCACCAGCACCCCTCGCTACCCCATCAGGGATAAGCAGGATGGAAAATGGATGGATGGATATCTCCAAATTCTATTGTAACTCAGTTGTGCAATCACACACACCAATAAAGGGAGAAATTAATATTAAAAATAATTTCAGAAATGTAGTTTATATTGATGTGTAGTGCTTATACTGATCCTATATTTCATCACTGAATTTGTATTGTATTTAAAGATTAGTTCAATATACAGTAACTAGGTTATTAACTTACAGTAGCAGCCATTCAAAATTGTCCTTCCCACTCAAATGCCAGCCAAATGGCAGCCAACTTCCAGCCACTTGAGTGACCTTTTCCTTCTTCTGGGCGTGCATATTTTTTTACTCTGACTCCATTCTTTCACTGAATTACAGGGTCTGACCAGGAGATCTCTTTAGATCTTAATGTTGACAAATCATGACAGAATATTTTAGTTCAAAGATTGATGTTTAAAAAAGAATTGAATGGACCAGCCAAGGGCCCATCAAGGAAAGTTGGGACATTTTGAATGGCAACTACTGTAGTAACTTTTTTAAGAACCATAAATAATTAGCTTTTCTTTTAAAGTAATACTTTGATTGGAGTTGAACCACCTACCTGTGGTTTCTGCTTTCATATTAGTGTAAACAGGATCCTCGTCTAGGTCATCAGGGCCCCCTGTTAATATGATAAAAAGATTAACAAAGAAAAGAATATTTAAATGTGGGAAAGCCCCCATAAGAAGTGTTGGCAAAAGGGAAGGAGATTCAGTACAATTCTACGAGATGACTGGGTACCTGCCACCCACGTTAAGATTCTTTAGCCAATCACAACAGCAGCAGTAGCAGTTTTATTTTTCCCACAACTCGCAGAATCAATTGATAAATCAAACTCTAATCAAATCCGGTCAAGGCGAACGGGCAACAATCTTCCAATCCACAAAGGAAAAAAATGCTTCCTTTGCTAATTTTTCAAAAAGAAATACAGGATATTAAAGCTATCTCCTGTTCAGCTCATTAAGAAATAACTTTGAAATTATTGCTGAAATAGTTTTTCCATTTAATTTCACACCATTGAAATCTGTCAGCTGAAATCAGCCAGTTGTTGCATCTCTGACTGCTTCAAGAAATATAGTTTACCTTTGTTTGTGGCTCGTTGGATTGACTCATACTCAGAAGTATCCCCTGCAAAACAATAAAAAAAGGTCAAAGTAAAACACATTTGATACTCTAACACTAGAAGTCCCAGAGAATTTCAGTTTTCCTTCAAGCCCCACTCCCCTCGTTAAGTCTGTGTATTGACTCTACCTTGCTAACTGTCCTTGTTGTAATGTAAATTACCTGTGATGTGACCAGCCCTTCTACATGAGGCTGGATAAAGGATGAAACAAACTGGCATCAGAACAAGAGCATGCTCCGAGCACTTCATTACCTTCCCCTGCAACATCAGACCTTTCTGCAGGAATATATTGATAAGTCATATCTAAAT